TCTGGTGGTCCATATGGATTTCCCGAAATGAGAGTATTTAAGTATGCTAGTAAGGAAAGAAATCTGTTCATTAACCAGGTCGATAAAACAGTTGAATTTATTATTAATTATTCAAAAAACAAATCCCATATTCCTATATGTAAGGTCGTCGATGAATTGACTTCAGACTATATTATATACGCTATTATGGTTATATCTCCAATTATCCGTACGCATAATCATAAGATGAATTACCTTATGAAACGTGATTTACTATATGAAATAAGTTCAGATAGTGACTTGAATCGAAATGATATTGGTATCACACCTCAACAAAATCTAGATGATAAAGAAATCACATCTCAAATTCTAGATTCTTATTTATTTGCCGATCCCATTACAAGAAATTTGATTGGCAATATTAAGTTTGATTTCCTTTTTAAACATTATCCTTCATACGAACTTGAAGACTTACTCTTTAATTTTAGGGCCTTAAGGCAGGCAATTATTGATATTCAGAGATATCAGTTAGGTGTTGATGATGCTGATATGCGTATTAACCCTGCAGTTGCAAGACGATCTGGTCATTCTTTGTTGACAGACATCTAGAATTATGGTGGTATTTTAACCGGTATGGAAGGATACAACAATAATACAGAATATAATGGTGGATATTTCATTTCCAAATCCTGGATAAAATTATTGGGTCTTGAATATGAAGTTTCCAAATTCGATCCTAAAGATGTAAAATTAAGTAAAGAAAGGCCTGAATTCCAAGTAAGTGGCGACATGAATGGTATTCTTTCTAAAGGTTGTAAAATTTATGGTGATTGATTTAATATTAAACAAGAACAGATGAAGGTTTGTGTTGATGTTTGTTTTTGTTCCTCTGAAATTATTCTGGTGCAATCTCTACCAGGCTTGCATAACACATTTATTTTTGAAATACCTTTGGATATGATTGCTAATAATAAAAAGGATAAGCATTTTGATTGTTTTGTATTTGTTCCATACAGCTGTCTTCTAGATGATATTATGGATCATTTAAGCTGACTGCTACATGTATTATTGGTCAAGTCAAAAATATTATGTGTAACCATGGATTCTGTGGTGAAGCCGATCTTACCTGCGATGTATATTTTAAAACCTTTCATGACTTTGGCAAAGAGCAGTTCGTGAATCTGATCAATAATTGGTATGACATTTTTCAGAATAATTTATTGGGTATGATGGATGGTAATTGACGAAGCTAACAATATTGTTTGTGAAAAGGAAAATTGTATGAAGTCATATAATATTTCTAATATCTGTTTAGACGAAGCTTGGAAAGTTATACCTCGCTCTGGTACTGTTGGAGAGAGTACGATGGGAGAAGTGACTAGATTTCTAGGATATTGGCAAGATTTGACCTATGATGCTACTGACGAAAAGAACATTTTTTGGTATAATTTTGTTTAAGGATGTGCTTTTTAGTAGAATAGATAAGGAATTCATTCTTACTAAAGACAGATCTGAATCCATTACTTAGACCCTGTAATTGGTTGAAGGAATTATTAAAGCTGTTGATAATCCCAAAATTATTCTGGTTGTCAAGGATAGGGAAATGGTAGGGATTATAAGTTAATATTTGGTGAATTACAGTATTTCTTCTTGTTATGTTCGTGGAAAATTAGCATCTGAAGAAAAAACTGCAATATACCATTCAATGGATTCAAGAAGAACAAAGAAGAAAAAGTCCAACTTAAATTTAAATTGGTTTAAGAAGGTATTGATATTCCAGAACTGAAATATGTTATTTCGGTTGACTATTTAACTAGAACTCACGAATATATCCAGACTACTGAAAGAGGTAGAGGAAATGGTACATTTATTACATTATGGAATGACGCTTGTAGAGATTATTTCTCCATAAATTCTAATTTTATAGTGAACCAAATCAGTGGCTTTTATGGGTTGATAAATTTATTTGAGCATACTGCTAGTTGCCGTTCATATCAATTTTTGAATGATAATAATAATGACAGGTTGTTGGATATTATAGGTAAGAAGAATGGAAAAATAAACAAAGTGATAGAGAAAAAGAATGACAATATTAAATTGAATATTGGAAATATAGATAGAAAGAGAAAAATGTATACTTCTGGAACGAATGAAATGATTCCTTCAAATAAAAGGTTTCATATGGAAATGGTCAAAAATAATATTAAAGTTACTTTGAAAGAAGATTTTATTTCACAATTTAAATATGCTGATGATTTTTATAATTTCTTAGGAGTTAAAGGAAATTTTAAGTCAGCTTTGATTGCTGATGGAGTTAAGGAATCATACTTTGATTTTGTTCTTTATGATTCTGATTCTTGTCCTAATTGTACACATCCTGGAAATCGCTTTTACTGTTGGAAAAAAAAATCATTGTAAAGCAACTTGCTATTAACTATTTTGTTTTTATGAAAATGGCTATGACTGATACAATGTTTGCAGAAAATGTTGATGACTTAAAGAACGCAGGTCTATTAAAAAGAACACTATCTTTTGTTGAAAGGAAATCTACCATGATGAAGTTATATAAGGAAAATCTTTTAGGAAACTGTTAATTTGTTACCGGCGGGAATTCTTTTGAAGTGAATGAAGCTCATGATTTCAGAGGGATTGCAGATATTTATAACGTCAAGTGGAAATATCTTAAGCAAAATAAGCTGGAGATCTTTCGGCATTTCTATTATGGATCACTGCATAAAACTGATGTATAATGGGACTGACCATACGAGAGAGATCTTAGGAAATTTGTTCAGTCGAAGTTCAGTGATTTTGCAAAGGTTTCATCCAAGACCACTGAGGATACGAATTTTGAATTCTTTACATCACTATTTAATTTTGACAAATTGAAGGAATGATCAAACTATGAAGAAATTGAAAATATGATGCAACGTTGCAGAATTGGAAGTAATGAATCAGGTTTGCTTATTGTTGATGACAAGAAAGTTCTCTTGATGCTTCTTAGGCTTTATTTTAATGTTGATTTTCGAAGACATCTGAAGGTATACTCCCCCTAGTTGCCAGATATATGATGTTCCACCAGTGGGTACAACCACAGAGGACTTGGATACATATTAAAGAGTTGAATATTCCCAATGCCAATAAATATTAGACATTATATTATTATTACCATAGATTGATTATGGAAATCAAATATCCCAGAAAGATTCCGGGTTAATTTTGTACTGTAGATATATAATATGTGTGTAATAAATTTGGTTTAAATCTTTGCTGTAACCTCAATGTGTATTTCTTATAGGACCATTTACTGTCATAACCACACCAGAGTCATCAAACTCTGTTGCATAAGACCAAGGAATCCCTCCAAAGCTGACATCTCAATTCGAAGCCAAAGGGAATTTTTCCTTTTAGTTTTATTGTAAACCGTGGCTGACCCCGGAGAGACGATTAAAATTCTGTTCGGCCAGGAGCACTACCAGCATACCAGCATAGCCAGCAAACAAGCATAGCTAGCATCTTAGTAGCGTAAGCTAGAATAAACCAGATGAAGCCTGTGAGTTATATATAAAGAGACAGTTTCTCTATCTCAGTGAAAGTACCTCTGCGATCTATCTATTCCTTCTATAATTGTATGCAAAAAGAAGAAGATCACGTTCCCAACAGTAAGTACAGCTCATTATTATGGATCTACATGAGGCTGACAACAGCACTTTCACGGTGTCACATCTGTATCAAGAGGTTATGAGCCCTTTTGCATTGTCTGACGTCGCCATCCCCATTAAGCTATCAGGGGTTGACAAATTCCACAGTTGGCTACGACTTTTGAAACAGCACGTTGATGTTAACAATCCAATTTGGAGAGAATATGTCGAAACCGGTAATGTTCATTCAGTTACCCAAGAATTCAATTTGTCCACTGATGTGGTCGATAGGATCATTTCAATCTTGGATTCTGCCTTGAGAAGGTTAATCTTTCTGAGTATCAATACCGAAATTAGAAAGAAGGCCATTGGGTTTCTTGAACTTCAATTTAGGACTCACGATTCATTACACCTTTTGGCTTATTTGAAAAACCTTTACTGCACGGAACACATTAACGACCTTCTACCACTTTATTATGAAATTAATACTTTTTCCTCAAAGTCCATCGAAGACAGAATTATTTGGACTAAAGAATTTGCCAGATCTATGTTCGATTTAGATCAGTTGGATGTCGAATTTCCTGATCCTAACATTAGAACTGCTGTTACTGAATACTATAGTAATGTTGAAGTATGGTTAGCATTAGAAGCCAAACCAGCAAACCAGCATCTAATTAGAATAATTAGATGCTATCCTTAAGCTATATAAAGGGATAGTATTCAAGATAAATGAAACTATTCCTACCCTTTATCTAATCCTTATATAAAACTATATAAAGTGATTAAGGATTAGCTTCCCAACCATATAGCTTTGAATAATTAATACTCAAATTAATAATAATCTTAAAACTGAATATTACTCCTTCTCAATTTCGAACCTGCCTCAACATTTAAGAGTTAGTGTCTAAACTAGAGTTACAATTTTGCAAGTAAATTCCTTGTGGCAGATATAGACACATTAGCAGCCGGATCCTGGGATGCTAGGAAGACATGGGATTGATATTGAAGATTTAGTATTCGAGAGAAATATATACCCTTTGATAAGTTGAAGTGTAAGTATTTGATGCATATTGAACAGTTCCAAGTTATTAGATTAAGTGTGTGTTAACATATATAAATGTTATAATTACTTCCATACGATTTTTTTGTTTTAGAAAAATGTCGAAAACCTGAATTCGAGTTGTATCACCAATGAGATATTATTGCAAGCTGAGAGAATTGATTTAAAGTATATTAATGTATTGCATAGCAGCCAAATGGTTTTTCTTTATAATCGAATTGACAGTTTAAATTAAATGGATAAAGTTGAACTTACTTCCTTCACAAGTTAATGTTGAAGTAATATTCGTATTATATTTCAGATTTGAAATATTTATTTTTCCTTACTTCAATTCATTATAATATTATGCTAAATTGCCAGATATTAATGCTAGTTATTTATTTCGGTATCAAACAGTCAGCACATTGAAATATAAGTATGTTTTAAAGTTCTCTTTTATAAAAATATTCTTTTTTGGATGGAAGTGGTAGTAGAATTGGAATTGGAAAAATACAAATGTATCAATAAATGTTAAATGACGGAATATTAGATGTTTGGGGGAAGGAATTGGTTGAGGAGGTAAGATTGATAAATGTCACATTGTATTATAATCTAGGTGGAGCTCTAATATGTATGGATTATTTGGTTATGAATATTCCGTGTAGTATATTAGACTATATAGTAATATATGGTGATATTATGATGGATATTAGAATATTGTATTTGATAGGGGAGTACCAACTCTTCTAGAATATGAAATATGAACTTGTAACTCCCATGTTATTCACAAAACTTAATCTATTAACCAATCAAATAATTACATTGGATTTTGAAAATAAAATCTATTCCTTTGATTATAAACAATAAATATTAAAACATTATGTAATATATATATATATATATATAATGATTATTAATAATATGAATATTCGAAATATGAAAGTGATATAACCAATTGAACTTATTTCAAGAAAAAATCACTTTTCGGAACCTATACTATTAGTTGGTATTGACTTTTGTGTTTTGGAAGATGTTTAGCATTAGAGGCATAACCAGCAACTAATTAGAATAATTAGATGAAATGTTTAAGCTATATAGAGAGATGGTTTTCTATCTTAATGAGACTATTCCTACCGTCTATCTAATATTTATTTAATACTGTATAATATAATACAAAGATTAGTGTCCCAATTATATAGCTTATAATAATGAATTACAACCTCGAAACTGTTAATTACTCCTTCTCAGTTTCGAATCTGAGTCGACATATACTAGTGTATAACATTTTATGAACTTGATAATGTTAAATAAGTTAAAAAATCAAATAGAATTCGATTTTGGGTTAAATAACTTTCACTCAGTATCATAATTTGTTTTTTTTGTGAAATCAATATGATATTTATAAATATTTAACTGTTTATATATCATTAAAACTTTCTTTCTATGCATTAAAGATATTATTGTTAAAATACATATATTGTTATATCTTATTTAGTATTGAAATGAGTAGTGATCAAAACATATTTTAGAATACCAATCTATTATTAAGTATTTATAAATTTTATAATATTTAAATATAAAATATGTCAAAGTGAAGGGTTAATACACTAGCACATGAATACAATGTAGTTATAAGATGCATTTAAATGGAGAGCTGTATAATATAATAATTTACCCCTTCTTAAAACTACAATTGTGACTAAATTGGTGGTTGGTATCCTTTTGCTTTGGCATGTCTTAGAAAACGTTAATGTCACTTAAATCACTTTTATTTAAGTAAATATAGATTACAATTTGAATCAAGCATTTTATTGTGAACAATCGGTGGAGGCCTTATTATACTGTCTATCTGTGATGTATTGTTTGGTCGGTATTTGGTAAGTTTTAATTATTATATAGTTGTATAGTTAATTTGGTGTACATTAGAATAAAGTCTGTTATTCTTGTATTCTAGAGAAACTTAATGTAGAGATTTGTATTATAAAGTAAATATAGTATTAATTAATAATGTTACTGATGTTTTCTTTATATGCAAGTTAGCATACTAAATAATATACAATAATATACAATAATATACAATAATATACAATAATATACAATAATATACAATAATAACTCTTTATAGCAATGAATGTAATTGAAGCTAGTTTTGGCAATTGTTAATCTAATTATTCCATTAAATCGCAGTAACCTTACTATTCAGGTAACTGTGCCTCTATTAATACCACAGTGATCTAATTTATTACATTCTTATGTGATAAGGATTTTGTATTGATTACGCTTAAGTACAAAGGGATAAAAATATTTATATATTTAATATTACTATATAGTTATTATATTAGTTTTATAACCTCATAGAGTTTATAACTAATAACCTTAAGTAATTATATCTAAGGCTTCTTTCCCTATATAAATACATTAATACATTAATATTTAATATTCCTGACAAGAAAATTCAAAATGATGAGATTTATGTTTTGTTAGTTTTATATTTAGTGCTATAAATATTATTTATTATCAGTTGGATAAAGATGAAACTCATATAAGAAAAAATATTACAAAATATAAAATTGTATTTTGAACTAAAAATTGTAAAATTATTTATATTAATATGTAATAAAGAGAAGAGTTATAATAAAATAAGTTGAATTATACAAGTTAATTATATGAATAGATGTAAATTGATATAATGCTATTGAAAGTATATTAAATGAATTAGTTCTGTGACAGAAAAATGGAAATGAGAATGGTAGAAACTGATATTATTCTGGTTTGGATTTCTGTTAGAGAGATCTTAAAGTCTTATGAGGTGGGAATATATATAATTTAGTGTGTTTTAAATTGTGTATGATAAAAATATAAGGTAGTTTAATATCCAGGTGTCGAGATAGATACAACAGTATAATGATAGATACAACAGTATAATGATAGATTAGTTATTATAACTTGTAGTAGTACCAATATTAGAATGTGAGTAGGAAGATTGGGATAATTATTTGTGTCGATTCAGATTATTGGGATAATTGATTGTGTTCATTTAGATTATTGAAATAAAATAAGATAGTTAATTATTATTAGGGTGGGATATATGAGTTTAAGGCAAATGTGAATATTAGATTGTGACAGTGGGGATAAGAGGAGATAGAGTTGAGATGGTAAAAAATTACAACCAGATATGAATTTACAAGAATCGAATTATGTAAATTAGATTTTAAGTTGAGCAATTAGAGTTACTATTACATTTTTAATTTCATCTATATCCCATAGTTAAGGCGAGATTTTTATATTTTGGGCAGAATTGCATACTATGGGAAGATATTTTATTTTGCTCTTAAGGCTGGATAGAGTAAATATGCGTAGGGAAGTATTAGATAGTATTTTTCTCGGTTTGGTATTATTTTTTAGAATTGATCTGGGTTGGGCGACATGGATGAGAGTTGGTTATGGTTTTTAGGAAACGTGATATGGAACAGATTTTCGCGGGTCGGTGTTGTTTGTTAGAAAACGTGACATGGAAACAGGTTTTTCCGGGTCGGTCTTGTTTTTCAGGAAAGGTATTTAGTGCGCGACGGTGTATATAATAAGGATGGTTAAAAAGGATAATGTTTAAGATAGTGGTAGTTAAAGTGATGGTAATAAAAGTGATGGTTGAAGTTAAGTAGAGGTAATGAAATTTGACCACAAAGGTAAAGTGAACATGGAGATTAAGATTATTGAATAAAATATATTCTTAACAATAAAAGTTGGTCTAATTCATTAAACAGATGGTTAGACACAATAATCATTAGTGACAGTATTATAAAAGATGAACCAGTTGAGATGGTGAAAATCTAAGACCAGATATGAAATCACAAGCATTGAATTAATAATATCAGATATTAGCTTCGACAATTGGAGTTAGTTTAAGTGCTAATTAATGGGGCCTTAACTGCTGAGGTAAGGTCGTATAAAGTGATCAGATTATTGAATAAATATAATATTGTTACGCTACCATATTATAAATTGATTTTCTGCAAGTGTATCTAAGAATATACGTTTGTGCGTTTATTTCTAAATGATATATTCAGTGTGTAGTGTAGAGGAGTGGTGTAGAGGAGTGGTGTAGAGGAGTGGTGTAGAGGAGTGGTTTATAGGGATGGTGTAGAGGAGTGGTGTAGAGGAGTGGTGTAGAGGAGTGGTGTAGAGGAGTGGTGTAGAGGAGTGGTGTAGAGGAGTGGTGTAGAGGAGTGGTGTAGAGGAGTGGTGTAGAGGAGTGGTGTAGAGGTGTGGTGTAGAGGTGTGGTGTAGAGGTGTGGTGTAGAGGTGTGGTGTAGAGGTGTGGTGTAGAGGTGTGGTGTAGAGGTGTGGTGTAGAGGTGTGGTGTAGAGGTGTGGTGTAGAGGTGTGGTGTAGAGGTGTGGTGTAGAGGTGTGGTGTAGAGGTGTGGTGTAGAGGTGTGGTGTAGAGGTGTGGTGTAGAGGTGTGGTGTAGAGGTGTGGTGTAGAGGTGTGGTGTAGAGGTGTGGTGTAGAGGTGTGGTGTAGAGGTGTGGTGTAGAGGTGTGGTGTAGAGGTGTGGTGTAG